GCTATTCTTGAATTCGAGGGAATAGAAAACCGGTCATTCCTCTTTATCTGCAACGCACAAAATTTGTGTTTTTGTCTCATTCTTCCCTCAAAATTTCTACTCCCTGAAATTCAAGAATATATACCCTGGAGTGGCACTCCGTATCAAATTGCAATGAAGAGATCGAAAGAGAAAGGGAAGAGAAAAAATCTCCTCTTTTTTTCCGTATTGAAATTTGTACTCTGCAGCAATTTCTTTATTTAATTCGGAGTGAATCGGGAGTTTCCGTCGCGAAGAGATTTTTCTAAAATAACGAACTACTCGTCCTAAAACTGTTGGCTTCACTTCTATTTGACACATCAAATAAAAAAAGAAACCCAATTTTTTACATAAATTTGGATTTGTTTTGAACGTGATTATTCTGGATCGAATTTCATTTTCGACTGCTTTTTAATATTTATATTTAATACTATGCCCCAAAAATAAGTTTTAAAAATGTACCTTGATAAACCCGCAATCTTCCACCCACGCACTAATGGCCCACCCTGTATAGGTTAGTGTTAAAAGTGTTCTTGGTGAATTTATACCTACCTTTTAGTCAATTCAACAATGGAGTTTATAATCACTTATTTTGCGAAAATGGTAAATGTCATAATGCATTTTATTTAAGGCCAAGTTCAATTTTGTTTGACATATAATCACGATTTTTTTTAGGTTAGAAAATTGCAATATCGATTTTTTTCATTCGAAGTAATAAAAGACGTCACTTTAAATTTCTATCTCTTTATGTCAACAAATTTATAACACGATGAATTTATAATGAATATCGGCAACTGACGGCAACACTGTCAGTTACTCCATGGCTACTAGAGTACATACAGGTCCGGTATAAGCTATATATAAAGCTATATATAAATGGAAAATAATAACTATGGCTGACATAATAAAACTCTTAAAAATATATATATTTTCAATCTTTATTACTATACATTATTTAGTTTTCATTTATTCTCTCTGACCTAGGGAAAAGGTTAGAAAACCCTGGTCATAATTATTTACAATGTTGCGTGTTCCTAATGATACAAAACATTACAGAGGAATGATACTTAGCCGATGAAATCTCATCGAGTTCATGCATGACATATTGTGGTATGAAATATGGCTATCTCTGATGCATCTGCAGATTTAAATTTATTTTTGCGTACTGTTTTCTATCAACTGATACCCCAAATTTATACAAGCCATGTATTCGCACCATAATGTGACAGCATCAAATCTGCTTAATCTCGTACCATTTTTTTTAAGTATCAGGGATATTCTTGGTGTAGCTGATCATCATGTTTCGAGTCATTGAACCTAAAAAAAATAACAAATATCAATAAATAGAATTCGGAATTTATTATAAAAATATTTTTCTTTGGGAATTATATAGGATTTCTCGTTAATATACTGACAAACTTTTAAAGGTGGTAGGTGCATCAAAATAAACATTTTTTTGCTTAATAAAATAAAAATAATTTTATTGCCCAACAAATTAATCCATTTACAGAACAAAATACATGAAATAAATGTTAAACATAATATTTCGACAGAAAATAATTTTAGCAACAGCAAGAAAAAAAAGAAAAGAAAGAATCCTAAATACATTAGCTACAAATTAGTACAATTAATGGTCGAAATAAATATCCCAATCAGAACAAAATTAATTAAAATTTGAGCACATTAGCGTTATAGGTGAATTTCTTCCCAAGTTCGTTCAAATACTTGTTGTATAAAATGTTTTATGATATCTAATGGCTGTTTAGGGAACATTAAAATTTATTTAATTTATCAAAAATAGTACATCAATAGTGGAAACACTGGAAACTACCCTTCAATTTTCGAAAGAAGCAGAGATTCTTCAATACCTCGAATGGGATACAGCTCATCTATTTTAAAAGGTACTAGAGAGATTGCCGCTGAACATTTTCCAATGATCTTTTATGAATATTGTAAATAAGGTTCCAGATAAGAGATGCATATTCTAGCCTGGAACGAACTAAAGAAAAGTAAGGATCTCCAAGCTTTAACAGTTTGTAAAAGAACGAGATTTACGAAATAAGAACCCTAAGCTTTTCTACGCAGAAGCAACGGTATTTTCAATATAATCCGAAAAAGTAACTTTTTGGTTGAATAATATACCTTAATATCAATTTGTCCAATAAAGGTAGGCTGTTAAATAAATAATCAAACTCCACCTTGTTAATACTTCTAGTATATACTTTACATTTAGACACATTCATAAACAGCTTGTTTTCATTACACCAATTTTCAACGATTCCAAGTTGGGTCTGTAAAAAGTAACAGTCTTGAATTGATGAGATTGAGGTAAATATTTTTAAGTCAGCAGCGAACAGCAGGTTAAATTTATTGCCAAGTCATTTATAAATATACCAAATAATAGTGGCCCCAGATTGGAGCTCTGTGAAACTCCAGATGATGCTGTGAGGGGTGAAGATGAAAATCCGTTGTAAAAGACATAATTAAAACGATGATTTAGGTAAGATGAAAATAATCTCAACAGCAACTGATCAAACCCTAAGCTTTCCTTACAAGAATATTATGATTTTTAATTATTACAAAATACATTATGGGCAGGTTGTACAAAAAATATTCTAAACATATTTTATCTAACAAGAGTTTTATTTTTAACTAGTTATATTCAAAAACAAATGTCATTTTTAAAACTATGTTTAACAATAACCGATGAGTATACAACAAGATTCACAGTTTAAACTAAGTCTACATTTTAACTGCCTGTTGTACAACCCGCCATATGTACAATTAAAAATTAATTGTATTTCTTTAAAATGCACTTGATTCTGTTGATCAAAACCATTCGATAAAAAAATTAAAAAGTATTGGTATAAAGGTGGTTTTTATATCTATGCTATAAAGCTTGCATTGGGGTAGCATGTAGATTATCTAAGTATCAGATCAGAGAGATTAAAATTAAAAAACATATGTAGTGGGATTCTCATCTTTCAGTACGTCTCCTATCGAGACTCCTATCTTTGTTAGACAGACAGCGATTTTAATGTAATGTCTCTCTCTATTCTGCAAGTAATGTGTCGAGTTCGCACAAAAGAATCGCTGTCCTGATCAGAAGAAATTAACCACATCAAAGGAAGAAAATTAGGTCCCCTGTTATTTTTAATTTATATTAATGATTGTTGATGTCGCAATAATCAATATGACATTTACCTGTTTGCCTATGATGTCCTTATCTATGTTTCTTGTAAGTTGTAAGGATTCAGAAATTTTAGTAAGAGTTAATTGTCAATGAAACTCTGCAAAATGTTAATAAATAATGTTGCAATCATTTGTTTAAAATCAACACAAATACCTAAAACAAAATATAAGCTGATAAGTAATAACTATAATGCAGTTTGTGGACAAACAATATAGGAAATTGGAAGAAAATCTATACAGTTAGTAGAAAAATTCAAATATTTAAGGGTAATTATTTGGAAACATTAAATTCACAGACCATATGCAAATACTGTTATCAAAACAATTGCATTATTTTTTACTAAATTTGAATATTGTGATATTAGCAAACTAGCCAAATAAAGAAAATAAAAATAAAATAAAAACCGAAAACATACCTGGATCTACAATAATATATATAAATAATATAAGTAGATTGCAGCTTTTAAATTATTAAAGTTCATTAAATTGAAATGACACGTCAAACCATAAATGTCAAACTTTCAAAACAAACATGCTTGTGTTGTGTTCCAAACAGAAAATACCATCACAGAAAAATTACTTTAATACCATTTATAGAATAATTTATTTACTTGCAACCTTTCCCCGCACACCACCTCGCCCCTCACCCAGAAACATGGTCAAATTGGGCTAAGCCATTTTACATTCGTCTGCATAGGGAGCGATGTTGCAATTTTTCAAATTTAGTGTCTATTTCGTCTGTTCAGATGGCAGCATCTTATGGGCCCTACATTTTTAAATCTTATCACAAGAATCCTGAAATAATTAGGCAAAAATAAAAGAATGTATTTTGCGTTTTAACTTTTAAATACTATAAAAAATGATGGAAAGTCCATAACTTTTAAATATTTGTTAAATATCACTAATTAAAATATTATGCATTAAAAGTAAAACAAACCATAGACTTTCCATCATTCTTTACAGTTTTTTGAACCCATTTATGAAAACAGTTTTTGAAAATATTATCGTTTAGTATAACCACAAGATGGAACTTAAAACTTCAAGTCACGAATATGCCACCCGTAACAAACTAACGTACGTTCCTCCTTATATGAAGAAAGCTATTAGACAAAAATCTTATTCCTTTTTAGGTCCTAAAATTTATAATTCATTACCCTGTGATATTTGAAACGAAATTAAATTTCCGATATACAAAAAGAAAATAAAAAGATTTATCTTGAGCATGCCACGTGCCTTTGCACATGAAATTATTGAAAATTAGAATTTATTTTTAAAATACCTGTGTGTGTATATATACTCTATATTATTATCATTTTTGTTGTTTACATTATTTTAGATAGTAAGGTTCTATATTTTTATGTAAGTTTAAATACTTTTTTATATACCTACAATGTTAAAAAATGTGTAGTATGCCACATACAAGTAACTTGCTTTACTTCGTGGTTTTTGTATCATTTATTGTATTTCCGTTAAAGTTACTTACAAATCCGTTAAATTTATAATTTTTGATCCGCCATATTAAATCCGACATTTTGAATTTTGCTTTGTTGACATCATATTCGTAATCAGCGACCCAAAAAGCATATGAGGACATAGTTCTGTAGGTTTTTGTATTCATTTTAAGTCTATGTCCAGGTTTTAAAGCGAGTTGGCCCACTTGGAGTCGTCCATAGAAAGCATCACTCATAAGGGACCGTTTCCTCTGAAGCGAGAAAACCTTATACAGTAGAAATAAGGAAAACGGATATTAAAGGAAAAAGAAATTTATATTTCCTAACACATAGGTAACTTTTTTTTTATGAAATTTTGAACGGTATGTTAGAAAGTGTCTCTAAAAATAATTTTGTTAAATATCAAAAATAAATTAAAAGCCATAATCTTAATAATTTTTGGCATTTAAGCAATCAATAATGAAAAAAAATTAGCTAAAAATAACTTAAACCTACTGAACACTAGAAGTCTGACTCTTACATACAATATTTTTAATCATATACGTTAATTGTGGCAAATACTGAACAACCTTTTCCACCTGTACCATAGATAATACCTCATTAGTATTATATCTCCCAGTAGTTCTTAGTATCCTCATTTGCGCGGTATTTGCTTTATAAATTTCTATGCCTAGCACATCAAGAACTTGCTCGCATATCTGGACTGGTATTCTAAAGAAGAAATCAGCACTGAGGTCCAACACTGCCAACCATCGATCGTTCATGTCATTTGGCTTCATGTTAATGCAAACAACAATTTTATTTTCAATAAGTAGGTGCTGCAATTTATAAACAGAATAACTATTGCTTAAATATTCGTGTGTTACTGAAACCATACTAGGGGTCGTGTGATTTGGAGCAATAGGATCGTTCTTGATGTTAATATATTTTGGTAATATCGCCAATTGTTTTTTGAGAGGAGGTTTCTGTACAACAGAAGAGCTGGAAGGACCTTGTTGTTGGACGTTGTGATCCTTGGCAGCAAATGTATTTTCTGCCATATTATAAATCGAACTTAAAGTGTAAATAATCGGTGCAGTTTCTTTTCGTTTTGGTTCCTTATTTGGTTTTATTCTAGCAGGCCAGTGATCCTCGAAAATGGAATTGGGAGGAAAGAAAGACTTTACATTATTTACACTGACAACAAAGGAAGAGGTACCACTAATCAGATCATTTCTTATACCTGCAAAAAAAAATAAGAGTGAAAGACAATAACTGTAAAGGACCCCGCACAAATCTTATGGAAATTGGGTCCCAGTCAAATTCGCTGAATTTTTGATATGTGATAGAGTTCATCATACTGGTCAATTGTCTCAATGGCCACAAAGCTCAAAAATGGATAGTTTGGCCGGTACAGAGCTTTAAAGCTCCGATTATCCTCCACGGATTTATGTATATGTGCAGTGTGTATAGACTTTTGAAATAGCCTATTTTATTGTTTTTATTATCTAGGTTTATATTTTCGAGGTTGCTGAATTCAGATCTGTTGTTAGATTTTCAAAATTGACAGTTGGCAGCTTTTAAATAGCTGTCAATGTGCTATAATAAAGCCAAAAACTTATTTTTTTTATGTTTTATCTTCCTTTTTTTTTTTAGTTCGATAAGTTCAAAGATGATATCAAATCAATAACAATGACTCTCGGCAGCTGTCATTTAGCTGTCAATAATTCTTCAAAGTCCGGTAATAAAGTCAAAAAATTATTTTTTGTTGATAACTTGTTGATAAGTTTTTAAGATAAGTGAATATAAATATGATATTAAATTATGTAGTCATCAGCTTACAGCTGTCAACTAACTGTCAAAATGCAATAATAGAGTAAGTAACTTATTTTTTGTGTTTAACTTTGTGGATAAGAAATCAAACATGATAAGTTTATGACATCACTTTTGAACTCAGTGATCTAAGCAACTTAAATCTTTTTAAAAAAAAATAACTTTTTGACTTGATTATTGCATTTTAACAGTTAGCTGATTGATAGGGGTTAGCTGTAAGCCAAGAATTTCCAAATAGAAAAATACATTGATGCTTTTTGTCATTGGTAAATTTTATTCCCAATTATTTTTTAATGTTGAAACTTTGGCTTTTACTCTTTTAGTAATGCTTAAATTCACTTTTCTACCGTCGCCATTTGGCACCCGATTTGACAACTGACAGCTGCCAAAATGCACTTTTGGCCACCAGCATCATGATCAGCAGTCTTCAAAACATCGGTACATGCACTAAAATCATATACTAATGTACCAGATTTCGAGTGGACGATTTTTTTCCGAAAAAAAGTAGTTTTTTCACTTTTAATTATTTATAATTAAATAACAATAACCAATTACGTGGAAAAATCACTAGGACTAATTTCAGAAACCTCTTAGCGACATGAAATACCCATAGCCAACAAGTTAATAACATTAGAGCACATTGACAGCTATTTGACAGCTGCCAACTGTCAATTTTGAAAATCTAACAACATTTCTGAATTTAGCAACCTCAAAAATATAAACAAAGATAATAAAAAAAATGAAATAGGCTATTTCAAAAGTCTATACACACTGCGCATTTACATAAATCCGTGGAGGATAATCGGAGCTTTAAAGCTCTGTACCGGCCAAACTATCCATTTTTGAGCTTTGTGGCCATTGAGACAATTGACCAGTATGATGAACTCTATCACATATCAAAAATTCAGCGAATTTGACCGGGACCCAATTTCCATAAGATTTGTGCGGAGTCATTTTCTAAATTTGATTTTCGCCTTAAAGAGTTTTTCTTATGCAAAATGATTTTCTGTAGATTTTTGGAAATTTTCGATATTTATTAGGTTTTGTCCAAAATCTTCACAACATGCAGGTGGTGCTTAAAAAATTGTGTAAGACGAGCTAAGGAGTTTCAGGCAATCGGATGATGTTTTTCCCGAGCTGATGCAAAGCGATGGGGTAAACTTTTAAAACCAGTATGTCGATGGCGTTAGCTCGGTCAAAATTTTATTATATTTTTTTTATTATATTTTCAGTAAATAAGTCTACTTTGAAGTGAGGCCATTGGCGGGTAGTGAGTAATTGCACCTGTAAGTTGGCTTGGTTAATTTTAATGCGCAAGCGCATATTTCATACTTTTTTGACAGGAGTTGGTACGCCTATTATACTAGTAGTTGGTCCAATGTTGATTGACCGTTTCACTTTTTTATTTTTTAGTTAACCCTACTTTAATTCGGTACGCTCAGCACCTTACGCAATAATCAAGAAAAATCAGCTATCAGTTGCTCAAATGAGTATGTCAGTGGTTCTAACTTTTAATCATGTACCGAAATAATCGTACAAAAACTAATTCTAGAACGGTACGAATTTAGTTGGAACTCTTTATAAGGATCATCAATCATTTACTAAAAGTTTTTTATTAGAACCCCTCTAACCTACTTCGCATCACAGTGACCAGAAGCGGCTGGTGCATGAGTGTTGTAGAGCTTGAGAACTGCTAAAAAATTCAAGTATCTCATCTACATGTCACAGAAATTATTTTAGACAGTCTAAAATATACGTAAAATAAATTTTATGCATTGTCAATTTTTATTTAATAACTGAGAATAAGTCCAAAGTGGACCAGTAAAAGAATTATTAAAAGCTCGTCAGGTCATATTCATCTCTTAGCTGGGTCGCTTTCGGGACGGTCTGTGAACCGCTTGGCCCTCCCGCGTTCATCGTCGTATCTCCCTGCGGCTCTCTAAAAACTAACGTCAAGACATGTAGTGTATGCGTTGCATTTTTGCCAGATCGGCGAGCATTGTTTATAGTCTGTCGCATATGTGATGTTATTTGATTTCGGTTTCGTAAATTATTAGTGAAAGATTCTGAACGCGAGCATATGCGAGCGCAAAGAATCGCGAGTATTGGATTGTTATTCCAACAGAGTAACAGACTCATTCCAACAGAGTAACAGACTGTACTTTCCCCACGGTCACGGACATAGTAGGAGTTGAATATGTTAAAATGAAACTGAACAAAATAAAATAAATATTATCCCTTTTATTAGGAAAGTATTTACTTAAATACTTTGTATAATTGGGCAATTTAGTAGGAGTATTATCAAATTCCATATCAGAGTTAATAAATTAATCCATTTTTAAATTTAAGTCTGATTAAACACGCTTATCTTATTTAAACAAATTTTAACTAAATATTAATACGTCGCATCATAATATTCATGGCTATCTACGATGCTGGCGTGATATTCACAGCCATTGACCAGCAGCTACTATACGACGAACATTCTGTCACTAGAGTTAAAATGAAATACATGTAAAATATATTGGAGGCAAGTGTTTTAAAATTTTCTTTCAATCTCAAGAGCAAGAATGTTTTCTTCCTGTTATTATAAGTGATTTCGGAAGAAATATATTTAGTAATAGCCGTTAAGAAAATTGTTTCTGTGTACTATCTGATAGTTATGGTTATGCTAAAATTTACCATAACAGAAAGTTCAAAATTGCAATTTTTGTTCAGGAGGATGAGGTTAACTGTAACTTTACCAGGACATTAATAACACTAGTTTACAAATTTTAACTTTTCTTTTATTCCCCGAAAGAAATGAATATAATAGTATATTGTTTAACCAGTGACGAAAGAACGAGAGAACAGTTTATCAAACGAGGCGTACCCGAAATCTGCGATTTAGGGGTAAACCCCGTTTAACCATCTTTGTTTTGGCATCTACCTTTATACTATAATTGAACTTTTCCTTTATAAAATCCAAAAAATGAATTCTAAGACTGCAACAATAATTTTACAATATCTGAAATTGCAACCACTTACTTTCGTCACTAGAGATGAAAGTAAACGTTATGGTGTCGGAACTGGCGTTTTCAAGAGGAATTAATATGTTTGAGTTTAGGTTTTTGTTCCTATTTAATAAAGAACCAACCTTAAAATGAGCTTTATTCATTTTTGTTTTTTCATTTACTAGCGCTCAAAAATAACATTTAAGCGTTAGTAAAAAAAGAGAGAGGTAATAAAATATCCCCTGTCTGTGGGGCAATTTTGGACGGGCATACCCTAAAAGGTGGGCCCTTCTGACCAATTACGACACTTACTTAAACCTAGTTCTTTTCAAACCATCAGTTACACCTATGTCTCCTTCGCCATGTTTTCTGATATTTAGAAAAATTGTCAAAAAAATGTCTAAATTAACCCCGTTATACGGTAAGCGCGCAATGAGCCATGTTCACATGTGAGATATGCTTATTCATAAATTATATTGTAACAGTTAGTCGCTATACAAGTTATTCTACATAATCAGTTTGTTAAAAAAGCCAAAAGTTTTTAAATTAAAACCAATTTAAATTTGAAATATGTACGTCATCAGGAATAGACCAATCAGCTTACGTCGAAGCTTTTTTTGTTATACAGAACCAAGCCAACGAACAAACCGACACACAGAATTTCGAAGTGAACGCACATTTAAGTGACACTTAAAATTGACACCACCTAGACCACCTAACCTAACATTCGTTTTTGGTTTTATATACTTTTTTCTCAATTCTAGATTTATTTCTTCTGTCTTTGCTATTTGGTTTAATTTTATTATTAATATGAGTTTGTCAGCTGGATTTATAAAAGTTGATTCAAGTGTTTTACCAATTGTAAACCAAGATATAATTACCGAGATGATTACTGCATTTTTTAACAATACTCAGTTTATAAAAGACACAAAGGTATTTAAGTCTTTATTTATAATTTGTTTTAATAGTAGTTACAGTTTATATGGAACAATACATCTTATAGTAAAAACATATTTATCTCAAGTCATTAGGGTTGTCGAACAGTAACAGTTTTTTAAAAATAAACATTTAACCTTTCTTAACCCTGCACTTCATTTATATATTTATAAGAAAAATATATTTGTCAACGTTTAAAGCTGTGCTGTTGGTATTATTTCTATAATTAGAAGTAAAAGTATAATTATGTATTACCTGAGAAATAGCAAATTTGTTATTGTAAAAAACAAGTTCATACAATTTGCCTACCTCAAAAATTAAAACTAAATAACATTTAAAACTATTTAGAGGGGTAGTGCACATATATTTACTGTAATACTATTTTTATTTGGTCGAGGATTAACTACTTGTTATATGTCTTGAAAATAATTGTAATATAAGTACATTTTTTTGAATGAATGACTACTTTTTGTAAATATAC